AAACAAATATATTTCACTGTCCCTCTTCCTGCCTTTTTTTTTTTTCGGTTTTACGACCCTTTGTCTACATTTCTTATTTCCCTTTTACAACTGTATGCAAATGGATTGCACATGGACCGACAAAACCCCATCTGACGGAGGTTGCAGAGGTCTGATATCACTACAGTTGTGTTTGCGCGTTACATTCAATCATTGCATTTGGTTACAAGTGTAACACATTAAGTCAAGATATTGTGAGCAATTGACCAAAATTGGCTTTGTGATCAACTTGTTGGCCACCCCTACTCTACTGTATTGTTAAGATACAAATATATTTTGAGTTTACCTGTAAACATAAAACATAGACATCTTTAAGAAATTTAAAAGATCTTTATGAGAATTTTGTTATTTATCTTTTTAATTTTTTTCTAAAGAGAATTTATTCAGACTTAAGAAGGAAAAAAAAACCAACAAAAATTTTTAATTAAATTACTATTTCAGCAACCTAATAGTGCTGTTTTTTCCCAAACTTTTTTTTTTAAGTACCTGAAGAAGGATGATATGAGTTTAAAGCATATATTATAGAAATTAAAAATAATAATTACATGTCAGCAGTAACCCACCACTGTAATAGCCAAGGATGTAAAATTTAAAAATAAAAACATTAAAAATAATTAAAAAGGAGTTCAAGAATTTTCCTTTTAAATGTATTAAACATTTTGAAATAAAATTCAAAAATAAAAATTAATAATAATGATGGTATGCAATTATATTCTTCTTGGTATCATTTTTTAACCAGTAGGAGGATCTACGATAATGTTTAAGTACCCTGTAAAAGTTCTTCACTTCGTTTTATTTATATTTTAAATGTGTGTTTATGTTATGGTATGTCTTGTTGCTTTTAATAACATATTTGAAGATTTGAAAGTCAAATGTGTATTTAATAATCTGGTTTGTATACCAAATGTAAGTTTATCCTACTGTTTCCATTTTAATGTCTTAGTTTGTGTTATTAAAATCAAGAATTTATTTGTACCTTTGTTTTGTACAGTTTAATGTATGACAACTGAAGAGAGATTAATATAAGTTCAAAATGAATTTTGTTAAAGGTACTTAAAAAGAATAAAAAAAGAGTGTTATAACATACAGAAGTTGTTGTGATAAGTTTGGGAAAATATAGCACTATTAGGTTGCTGAAATAATAATTTAATACAAATCCAAACAAGAAGCAAAATGAAGAAAAATTTTTAATTTTAAACACACTACTGTACTTAACTTTTATTTTTAAAACAGTAGTTTTATTTATTATGGAACAAAGCACACTTTATTTATATATTTATTTATACTATAATGTATATTCTAAAAACAACTTTAAATTTAAATTTAACTTTAAATTTAAATTTAAATAAAACTTTAAATTTCCACTTTTAAAAGCAATGAACATTCTTGAAGCACATTTGTGAATTGCATTTCTGTTATAAGAAACTTTAATAGAACAACATAAAAGTTTTATAATTTATATTATAATAAACATTTTTGGGGATAAACATAGTGAAATAAAATATATGTTTGGTATTTTTTAATGCATACAGTTTGAATTAACATAAATGTATTCAAACAAAAAGTTCTTATAAAACATTGAGAAAACGGTGTTAATATTTTATCATTTCTTTACAACATTTAGATTAAATCCTGAAATGTTGCTGCTTTCATGGCAAGCAGAAATTCAGATAAAATTGTACTACTATTTTCTAGTACAATTTTAAGGTTTTTTGCCTTTTTAAGATTTCAAAATTACATTAATTTATAAGAATTGTTGTTGTGTACTCTTCAAAATAGCTATTGAAGAGTTAAGGTAATTTGTTCAGGAGTGAGTTTGATTTGAAAGGAAAGAAATGAGCAGTAAAAGCAAAACCAAAAATAAATAGAATAAAAATTATGTCTAAATTTATTTATTTTTAGTTTTGATAAGTATGCATAATTAGATGTAATTTCAAAATTCGATGATTATATATTTAATTAGAAACCTTTTTCCAAATTGATCACTTTAAATATTGAAACTGAGTGTTAGTTTAAAAGTATGTTTTATTGTTAGTTTTGTTTTGACGTATAAAACTTCTGTTTAATAAAAACAAAATAGAATTTTATTGAAACAACAGTATTTGATAAAACTAATGAATTTTGATATTAAATGTAATATCTGTTACATTGTTTCAAGTTATTTGTCCAGTAGTAATAGTAAAATGGTATTTGTGAAATACTTGAAAAATATATTTAAAATGAATTGTGTATTTAAATTCTCTCTTAGCCCAGTTATGGTTAAAAGTTTAAAACTATGCTGTGCTTTAACTAGGCTCTAAATGTGTTTTAATTTTTTATTATATTATATGTTTTTATTTATTTACTTTTAGATTTCTTTATATCAATTAAAGAAATCAAATTAATTTTTTGCTATCTACATCTTTTCATTTAATGATGTCTAGTAGTATATATATTCTATATTTTTGAATGCATATTGTTTTATGTATTATTTTGTAAAATGTTTAATGATTCTAAATAGATCCAAATTATTTAGAATCTTTAAAATTTCATGAAATTCTTGGAAATTCTGAGCATTTCGGTTTTTTTTTTTTTTTGTTATAGAATGAAGTACTACTATGGCATATTTTTCATATGATACAGAAATGATTAATAACAATTTTTAGTTAAATTTAATAATTATTAATTAACTTTCAGATAATTATTTTATCTGAAAGTTTAAATTATTTGACAACAATAAACATATTACATAATCGGAAATAAAGGCAAATTGATTATATAAGATTATAAAAGTTTTTTCAAATGTTAAGCTTTCATAGTAATATATAGATTTTTATTATATATAGTTGCGTGTTAATGCACTTATTAAAATTGGCGCCTTGAAAGTTCAGTATGAACAAATGGAAAATGCTCTGAAAGATTTCGATGAGGCAATCAAATTGGATCCCAATAATGCTGATGTTTATCTTCATCGTGGTCAGGTAAGAAATTAAATAAATAAAACCAGTTTATAATTTTATACTATACTCTGTACAAATTAATTTATATTTATGAATTAATAAAATAACAATTTAAATTTTAAATCCATTGTCATTTTGAATAATTTAAATATTACATTCCTGGCTATTTTATATATGTATATAATACAAGAAAGTATTGTAATCATCTTAAATTTGACTCAGGATTTTTTGCAAATCTTGACATTTTGAGATTCCCTGAACCCCAGAAAGTCAAAAAAGGGTGGAAATTGCATGTGTGTGCATTGGCATTAGGGTTTCTTTCCCGGGATTCCCGCCGTTTATTCCCTACGAGAAAAATCCCGGGAAATTTTATTTTCCCGGGAAATCTCGCATTTCAATAATAATTTATCATGTCAGGTTTTCTTTCTATTATTTATTATACGAAAAGTTGCACCTTGAAGACTCACCTAAGAGAGAAATTTTGAGGTTTCATGTTGCATATTATTACCTATGTTTTACAAGTTTTTACTTGTTAGTTCATGTAATATCTATGTATTGTGTTTGCGCACCATTGAACAGCGGAGCACTCGCTGAAAGTAAAAATCACTCATCGCACTTTAGTTTATTTTTTATTTTATCTTTAGAAATAAAATGGTATTTTTTTTCGTAATCATTAAAACTCCGAATGAAACGCTTTATTTTACTTTCATCTTATAATGTAGGAGAACATAAATTAATTGAGCCTAACGTGTCCGTATGGGTGAGATTGGCCCTACAC